TGCATATCTATATGTACACGCATATGCAGATTATGATAAAGGTCCTACTTGGTAAAATCAGTTCTTGAAACGACCACCGTAAACAATGCTTCGCAGTATGCACTTGCTAAAGTCATGTCGAGTCATGAGAGTATATTATCCATTCATGAGAGTGTATATTGTGAGAGTATGCATTGTATATTATATCGTTTGAACCGACTAACAACGCTCGGAGGCTTTTAATATTAGATGATCAAATGAGCTGAAACCGTCAAGTTTCACGTCCTTTACCGTTCACCTAGCTGTTACTAGCATTGAAGCAGCAAAATTCATGTGGGCATCAGCACTCCGTTGTTTCTGAACCCACTTTATTTGTCATCTGGCGTAGTAATCCTCCACTACAATACGAAACGATAGTATTGAATGGATTTATTTTAAAATAAACACGCATTTTTGTCCATAACAGTTTAGAATATATATTCTAAGATCCGGCCGCCTTATTAATTATCGAAGTTTGTAATTATCTTCGATAATTAATAAGGCGGCCGGATCTTAGAATATATTTTCTTGTATTGAGTTGCCGGAAATTTCCGAATATCGCCGGCCCTCACAGATGCTTGAACGCGAAAAGCAGCTAATATTATTGGGCTTGCTGTTCTAAAACATCCGAATTGTACGATATTGGCTACTTTGCCCGTTTGCTGTTGTCTCTTCTGTCATGTTAGCAGTAAACACTGAGTGACATTTAGCAGCGATCACCAGTAGCCGTACTGGCTAGTGTATAAGGACAGTGCATCGCCATTGCACCCTGCAATTCCCTCATGAAATCTATTTGCATCGTCCACTTACGATCGTGTGGACAACAATATTGAACGAATAACCCGTTACTGACAGGGTGATCATGTTTGAAAGGTGTAGAGTGGCCGGTTATTCTGTATACTTGAATATTGAATGTAACAAAAAGTGGTGGCTCGGCAGTGCTTACCATGAGAATTAAACAGGCCACATGCTTTGATGTATTGATTTAAATAAGAGTAAATATATATACAAGAATAGATAAATACGAGTAAAATGCGATGGTAGAGCTCCGACCGGTAACGAGTTCCACTGCCACTGCCATTGAGAGCCAATTAATAAGACAGGATTATGAAAACCTGAGAAAAACCTCTTGGTTGTATTGCAATTTCCCGTTTCTTCTACAGGCCGCAAAATTTGTTACCACCGAACACCACCTATTTCCCATTTTCCCTCTCTACCGTACAGCCTTTGTAACACCACAATGCAGCTCGAGCACAGCAGTTGATTGTTATCTAACCGTGACAATATTTTATATACAGTGCTTTTCCCATACCCACGATACACACATACACAAATCCACACTTAGGCCTGCTTACCTTTAGAGCCCCACTCATCCCCTGAATCGGATGTAGCGTCCTCGTCATCTTGGTCCGCTACACGGATTTTCTTCTTTGTCGATGTGGAGTTGTTGTCGCCGCTCACATCTGACCCCTCTGAATCTGAAGCTAACGCCACACGCGACTTTCGCTTGCTACTCATGCTGCTCAATGCCGCCGACGGCTGAGCACACCCTTGTTTTTGCCGTTGTTAAGTAACACTCAGCTAACCCCTTGCAACCGGCGAACACACAGATACACAATAACACCAAATAGATCACACGGTCACCGTCGAGCTCTGGCCAAGTCCGATGTGATTACAGCCGACTGAATACGCTCAGGCAGCTCGCAACAACAGAGTAATTCCTCTACTTCTCTCTATCCGATTGTCTCAAATGGTAAGTAGGTACGAGCGGCAGTTATCAACCGTGGGCAACCACTGCAGGATTAAACTTTCCACAAACGCAAAATGCCACTGAAAGGCCGCAGAACAGAGCTGAACAAGAACTGATGGCCAAGGAGCAAAAACAGTCGCGGAGTCTTTGCACTTCACGAACAGCGAATCGTATTGCTGCCTGGACCGCTACGTTCCTTTGTATGAGTGTTATGAGAGGGCTAGTGGCTAATGGCGCGACCATGTTGTGCCGGAGAGAAGAACCAGCGACATAAACACGAACAACAATAGCGGCTTGAGCACACAATAGCAGACGACACCGTGAACAATCGAGGGTGGAAGCGACACCTGGCGGAGCCAAGATGAGCTCAGGATGATGCAGCCGCTACGGCGCCGGGCAGCAGCCACGGCAAATGCAGTGTACGCAGGAAACCACCCCGCCGGCACCCTGGCTATAGTTGCACTGTATAGAAAAAAAATACAGGCTAGTATTGTGACTGGAGAGACGATCCGCAGCTGCAACAACGATATCTCTAAAGAAAAAACATCGTTTCTGCTTGTATTGGGTAAGCCTAAAACAGTTAATGAAATAAATCTCGGAAAGAGTGAATGAGACGCGTCTTTTTAGGAAACGTTTCAGACGGTTGCAACAGGGCAATGGAGTGAGTATGTTAGTTTTCGATAAGTAAACAGGGAAGCAATGGAAAATCGTATATTAAAGAAATATGAATTTTCGTTCTAAAATAATTACTGCATTTACGAATTGATTGTTGATAGGTAAGAAGCATCAGAGGTTATTCGGAACCAAAATAGCCGGACAATGAACATTAAAACATCACTTTTATTAAGATTCAAAAACTCGACCTACGTCGCTTCTGAATATAAGCAAATTCTCTTGCATCAGCTACTTGGCACACAATATTGAGATATGATATCGATTTTTCTTAGTGGGCGGCTGTTCTATGCGGTAAGTTCTACAGATTTATTCCAACTGCAATTTGTTTTCGTAGAGATTCGATTAGCCATCGTTAAACACAGAGCTAGGTCTGAAATTTAGGCCCTGACGTTAGCAAGCTTGCCGTTTTAAACTTACCAAATAATTAATGACATCGCAGTCGTAATGGGATTACCCGTCCTTCGTAACTGCGTTATCAACCGGAATAAGAATCTAACATTGGCGAAATATCATACAGATTCTTTAAACAGCAGCGTTTTGCTTAGTTCTTTTTCAGTTAGGAACAATAGTTTAAAATTAAAATTAAGTGAAACTCACCAGGCTTCTTTTGTATATTTCAAGATTTTCCTAAGTTTCTTAGAGGGTAGCTTAACAGTCATAAATGTCATTAAATAAATATATAATTTTATATATTTTTCAACATTTTATTAAATAATTATTACCTCTTCGTTTTTCAAATTGACGAAAAGATGCCGATTGGTCGTTCAAAGGAAAGTTATTCTCAATAGAACTTAAGCATGACACCTGTTAATCGCTCTCAAAAGAGCGGTTGAAAAGTGAAGCTGTTTTAACTTGAACACAATGGGATCCCAAATTTTTAAACATGTTATTATTTTCAAGTCTGATTTTGTAGGCCTAATTTATTCAACAAGTTTTGAACTGCACGAGAATACGAGCTGATTTAAAAACAAATGTACATATTGTACATAGGAATTAATTATGTAAAAATATAAACAAATTACCGGAAAAACAATAAACGTTGTACTTCGTGGAAATTGGGTATCTCGTATTTATTTGATTATAACATCTTAATCTCATTAGATTAATTAGTGGTTTTAATATTGCGTTGTGTTTGCGAAGTAGATCAATACCAACTAAAAACATGCGTTAGTGAGTCTAACATAAATTTTCTTTTGATCCGTTCAAAAAATAATGAAAGTTCCCTACCCATGTTGCCTCCATTTTCCCTTAAAATAAATGTTTTCAAAATATAATTGAACATTTCAGTGAAATGAGCCCACTAACGAAATAAACACGACTGTCGAATCAATGAATAAAACTAGTAAAACGTTTGTATAATTGTTACAAGATTCCAATAATTATTCATCGTCAGATGAATTGTTTTTATGCCAGCAAATTTTATAAATAAAGATGTTTGGAAAATTAAATGTTGAATTTATTTTTAAATTACTTCATCCTTTTAGATATGTTGTAGTATATGAAATTCCTACAAAAAAAATCATATTCTACCGATGCAAACCACCATAAGCAACATTATAATAATGCTTTTGCTCATCTTATGCTTTGCCCCAAATTTAACGGCGAAATACCAACCTATCAGCGCCCTGAAAAACGATAATATTATCAAAAAAGCATCAAAAATTCTTATAGTTTTTTTAATTATTCCGTTAATTATTCCGCTGTTCTACATGAACGAAAATAGACGTCGTCTGCACTTACTCTAATCAATCAGTACAGTAGTTTACGGTAAAATTACATCCAGCCCAAATCTGATATGAACCTTAATATAAAAAGAAAACGAATAGAAAATCTCCATGATCGTTTTCTTTTTCCTCGTGCCCATCTAATCTTGACCATCGGCGCAAATTTTCAAAACCTATTACAGGAACTCTGTCAGCTATCCACAGACAGACAAACTTCAATCTTTCAATCAGGTCTGTTCCGATACCTTGTGATTTGTTACTGAGTTCGTACCACGTTCACACCACACTCGTACCACAATCGCCCGTTGTTGTGGCACTATCAAGTATAACGGCTAACAACCGTGTGTGCCAGTGTCATGCGGCCTGCTGTTCGCTCGGGTCCCTTCTCTCACCAGCAGGAAATAGCGGGAGTGGAGAATATGCGTATGACGGTTCCTGAATGAATACGGCGACAATCTTTTTAGCTTTACCAACTAGTACAAGGCAGTGAAGGTGTGTTGTTCTGCTGGATACTGTCTTTTGACGCGCTGGTCTGTTCTTATTATTTTTCTGTTATAGGTCAAAGGTCGCTATACGTACGTTCTGTGATTTCAGCGGTAGCAGTTCTAGTGATTCTGCAAATGTATGGGTAGCTGTTGTGTTTGGAGTAACGAGTACAGCTTTTCTGTTGAGTGGTAGTAGAAACTTATGAACCGAACTGGAGGGGACCGACGACGACGACGACGTTGACTCCAAAACAACAAGCGAAACTGTTGTCCACTCAACCATTGCTACCTTTCTTTCTAGTCAAAGAATCAACCAAAATCAATCAATATGAGTGTCTTAATGTACTCACAGCATGTGGTGTACGTCACAACGCTATTCGCTATCGTGGCCGTAGGTGAGTCTCGGAACATTTTCTAGGATCTCGAACATCGATATTCAATATAGGTTTAGACAGAAAGACACCGTCACCTAGCAGATGGCTACATCTGCTGCTACAGTTGGATATTGTTAGTCAATTCAATATTTGTCTGTGCTGTGTAGTTAATAACTGAGAAGTCTATCCTACTCATTGCTTTGAAACCGGGAAATGGAGTCAATTATCTATCACGTTTTGTGTGGCCTAGCATCGCTGTTTGCTCTTTCGATTGTGAGGTTCCTTATTCAAAAGCTAACATCGCAGGTGCTTTTAAACCGATGAGTGTTATAATCGAAACCACAATCGAAACAGAATGTAATAAAAGTTCTTCAGTGTCTACTACTTTCTCAGGCGTCCGCGCTATATTGTTTTATGACGCACTGTTAAAAGAGTCGTTCTGTTTCATGAGTATACATTACTTTTCAGAAGCCTGAAACCACTGATACTGGACGACTGAAGGGTCGATGATTCACTTTGTTATAAGCGCATGCGCGCATGGCTCCAGTCAGACGATTGATTATCTCATGAGTTGCTGGCCGTCATGTGATTTGACGCGCCGCTAACCTACGTTTCACTATGCGGCACAGCACTCACTCATCACAGTAAATCCTTGTCATCACTGCTGGAGGACCGTAGAATAATTAAAAAAGGGGGGGGATATAAATGAGCGGCCAAAAGGACGCTGCCGGTTCTGACGTTCACCTTCAGTTGTTGCTAGGATATACAAATGAGCGCCAAAAGAACGCGGCCGGTTCTGACGTTCACCTACAGTTGTTGCTAGGATAAGTTACAATAATGGAAATATCGACAGTGTCTAACAAGGCAGTGTGTGGGTGGAAGGTTCAATAATATCGAAAGTGAGCATGTCCTCATTGCAATAATGGTGGTAACATAACGTTTATATCGAATCAGAATGCGACAACGTTCTAAAGCCTGAAATGTGGAAATTGTGGAATGTCCGTCTCACTGGACGATAATGCATAACTTATTGATATCATATTAAAGAACACAATACGAAAAACAAGATTGGTCATTTTGAAAAATACACTAGTATTAATTAGTTTCGAATTATGGAACGTTTATATATTTGCTCTAATTCTATGCTTGTATTACTAAAAAATAACTAATAATAAAAGTTTTTTGAAACTACAAATTTCGTTGAAGAACATACTAAATATTTTTTTATATCTAACTATTTAAAAGCAATTGCGTTTTTTACCAATCTGCTTCTAATCATGACATTGATGTATACAACAGACTTCACTAGAGTGTCATGGAGCCTGCACAAAAAACACAGGTTTTCTCCTTGTCACTACTATGAGTTACCATTGCGCGAGTTTTTACTATCAATAGCTAGTTTTCGATATAATGATACCATCTGCATATATACAACAATGAAAATGCAGCAGATTACTTCTCCTGTGCGCCTATGGCCAGCTCGCGACAAGGATGCTCGAAGAATCGTATCTGCCTATGCGTTAGGCAACAATACCACGTAAACCTTTTGTTCCTTTTCTGTTATTATTATTACCGATGTTAATACTAAATTGGTCTAAAAAGATTAGAACCAGATCCCAAGTTTTTCATTGTATTGAACCTAAAAGTAGTCCAGGCAAGGAGGCACTAGTACACGTATAATACTTCGCAAATAATCTATAACACTTTTTTTACATATTTTTTCATTTTTATAACATTTTTAATGGCATATAGCTTTGTTATAAGTATACGCTCTGTATGTATGTTTGATATTTTAGGTCTATTCTATGTTTGCACCGGTAGAGGGTCACGAGTCGATTTCGGATGGTGAGTCATAAACCAATCAATTCAAAAATATTTGTATATTCTTGGCTCGAACCACGCCAGAGACACGCTATTCTCTATTTATATGTGACTAATATAATGATCACACATTTGCGTTTTTTTTTAAATGGTGTTTAGAAACAATACTTAATGAAGTACTCTACGTATTAGACTTGTTTCTGGACTAAAGAGGTGTTCTTTGTGTCGTTATTCCTTATTTCAGGTTCCTTGAAGGAATTCACCCGCATATGTGGTGCTCGATGGGTATCGGACTTGCAATTGCGCTATCAGTCGTTGGGGCCGCTGCGTAAGTATAACTTGAACTTCGGAAGTTTTAGCAAATTTAGTGTATGATATATTAGATTTCCTTCAGTTGAGCAAGGTCACTATTCTTTCAGACTCTTTTTCTTAAATGAAGACTGGTTTTCGCTATTGGTTTTTAGACACACGTTTATTTTTTAGTTTGATAGTCCAACGAATATTATAGGTTCCTGTTAGCTAAATAGAAACCCTGCTGTGTTTCATATGAGCTGAGCAAGATACGTAGCAGTTGATTCGAGCAAAGATCACTTACCGTCAAACCTTTGATGCTCTAAGGTGGCCTATTCGACCACTGCACTGTAAGGTGACCTATTGTAACTGACATAGACTTCAAAATAATTTTTGAAATTGTTATAATAATAACAGTAATGATTTGATTAAAGGATAAAGCGAGCATGCAAGATACGCACTATATACTCCGTATAGAGTTTTTCACTATCAAAAAGCGTTTCTCACCTTCAACTCATGCAACATCTAACCCGTAAACATTCCTAATTATTTGTCAACTGTATTATAGAGGAATTTACACGACTGGTGTATCGATCGTTGGCGGTGGTGTGAAAGCTCCTCGTATTCGAACAAAAAATTTGGTATCCATCATTTTCTGCGAAGCTGTGGCCATCTACGGAATAATTATGGCGATCGTTCTCAGCGGAAATGTTAACGACTTCACGAAAGAGAACGCATCTGCAGATGCGATGATGAGAAATTACATGTCCGGGTATGTGGTGGTGTGTTCTCGTTGATGCAGAATAAGTACTGTCTTGCTTAAGGTTCTCCAGTTCACGTAAGCTGCGAAAGCTGTTCTGGTGGAAAGGAAGATTTAGCTAAACAAGGCGGTTGATATGATCGATGGGTAAACTTGGCGGGAAAATTACTAATTGCATAGTAGGTTCGGGCTTCACAAGCTGATATCTATGAATCCATGATTTATTGAAATGCGTAATGCATGCAACCTTTTCTTTCTCGCCTCCGCTTGTATTCTCTACAGCTATATCATGTTCGGTGCAGGCCTGACAGTTGGCCTAGGAAATCTGTTCTGCGGAATGTCCGTCGGAATCGTTGGATCAGGTGCCGCTTTAGCCGATGCTGCTAATCCTGCGTTGTTCGTCAAACTTCTCATTGTTGAGATCTTTGCCTCAGCTATCGGATTGTTCGGCTTAATCGTGGCCATTATCATGGTACGATACGCTATATATAGATGTATATTCTTTTTGTTAGAATGTTTTCTTATGGCCCTGTTCTTGTATTTCTCCTGTGTCATGGAAACGGAAGCCGAAATATCTAATCCTTGTAAGGTGAAAATTTTACACGGTCATCTCCTACTCGTATTCGTCACCCTATTCGTACAATGCCACATGTTGGATACTGTAAAGATTGTCCGTATTCAGCAAGTCATAATTGATTTTTTTGTTTTCTCATATACCAGTTAATAACTGCTGACATTAAGAAGTGCCTACGGCATCTAAGCCTACGAAACCTTTAAAGATTACATGTCTTGTTTACTGCTAACACTGAACGGTCCTTTAATTCTTTCTCTTTATTATTTCAGACTTCAAAGATCAAGATGGGCGACAAGTAAATGCAAAATTGAAAACAAAAATAGCAGATAGTGCGAAGACGCAAGTGTGACGACAAAAATAACTGTGACCATATGACCTATCGAGAAGTACGTTAAAGCATATGAACATGCAACAACGCGAATGTTGCAGTCACTGTAGCAGCAAAGCAGGCAGCAGCAGTAGCAAGAAATTCTATGTCGCGAATGCAGTCATTGTTTCTCATAGGTCCCATAGTTCTCTCGCTGTGGTGGTTTAGCCAAAAAAAAAACTACTTCCTTTGCACGTCAAGGATGCAGATCCTAAACTATCCTTTTTGACGCGCTCAAAAGATGGTTGATTTAATACGCACCATAGTCCCTAGAGTTCATTGTATCGATTCCGCGCCTTGTGCAAATAGTCTAATCGAACTTAGGTAGACACAGTACATTGCTTTGGGAGGGCATGGGAAAATGCAAGAGAAATTTTTATAATTGCTAGATTACTATAATTGTAATTATTTCGCTCTTTGAGCATTAATTCATGATAGTTATATTTGCCGAGAAAGCTGTTTTCAGTGAGTAGTTTAAGAAAATAGGTGATGTATTAGATCAGCTGTCGAATCGCCTGCAAGGAGGAACGTACCTAACGTAGCTCAAAGATTTGTGCAAGAATACAACGTTCGAAGCAAGGTTTGACAAGACAACGGCCGGGCTATAATGTGTATGAGGCAGTCTGCAAAAAAATTTGCAACCATAATGAAAAAAGTGAAGTATTCATGCCTTTCTAAGAAGTTACTCGAGAATTTGATCAAACACATCTTTATGTTGCATCTAAATGGGTTGCTACGTCTGTATCGCGCAGACACTATAGTTATGTTGCTATACGACATCGAAAATTCGCTTTCTAATTTATGGTTTGGCTTTTCGATACGTATCCTCTTCGCAAAAAGTGTAGCACATAAAAACACAAAGAAAAATAGAAAATGGTATTAGTGGCTCAGTTTTATTTTATCCGTCTCATCGACCTGATAAACCTTGCCAAATTTCCGATATGGTGTCAAAAAACAGCGTTACAACCATAAGGAAAATACAAAACCGAAATATAAATGCAGAAAGAGAGAATGGATAGAATTAATAAATATTTATTACTAGAAAAAAAAAACAGCTCAGAAGAAGTATTTTAAGCAATTGGAGGAGTAACGTACCTAAAGGTGGAAAAATATGAATTTGTTTGTGCTTGGAGTATAAAATAGCTAATTGTCGAGTTAATAACGAGTGAATAATTAGCTAATAATTAAGAGAAACCAAGCAAGTCAAATAGAACGAATGAAAAATAAAAATTTATATAACGGAAAAGTATTAAAATGGAATTCAGATGAAGCGTGAAAATTTCAAAAGAAAGACGACGTAACAGAGAATGCAAACCAGTATACATATTATACAGATACAGACTCACTTCAATAGGGGCAGACACATACCATACCAAAAAGAAAGAATAATGTTCACGTATTATCTTTTTTTGGTTAAGCGATATATAGAAAGACAAAAATAAAAATAGAAAAATCATTTATCAAGTAGACAACTTGTTTTGAAAACAAGAAAGCCAAGGGAAAAATATTAAATTTATCAGTGAATAGAAATAGAAAAAAACCTAGTCAAAAAAGAGATACTCAGATATTCGCAATACTACATGTTTACAATTCTCAGAGAGTGCTGTATGTCCAACTATATGGCAGACGACCGTTTAGTAAATGCTGGTTTGAGTTGAGAAGAAACGATCAATGGGGGTCAACAGGTTACCGACAGCATTGCATAATTAATTTGACGAACACTTATGAATGCAAGGACTTCTATTAAGGGGTATCGCATAGGACTAACTTGGAGAATAAAGTTTTTTGTATGGATCAAACACTTGAATTTAACTAATTTTGCATACATAAGGAAGGTATGTGCACTTTTTATCGTTGGATTAAAGCCTTACCCTTCGATACTAATCTCGTCGCTGGTAAATTCTTCAACCCGGTACAGATTCCTGATAAATGAGCTAAAAATTAAGGTTGTTAAATGTATGGTTGACAAACAAGAACGCTGAGCAAAGAAACTAAATTTTAATTCTTAATCTATGCATTCGAGAGCAATTATTAATGGGATTTCAAAGGTGGACATGTATGTGTGAATTCGGGTGTGGGCTTTGCCACCGGTGAGGCTATGGGAAGACAAAGCAAGGAGAAACCGTAAAATACCGCAAATCTATTATGAGTTATGGAATCGTTTTTCCTCGAGTTAAGATTGCTGCCATCTACTGGTATAAAATTGTCAACGATATTAGCTGACTAACTAACACCACTGAATGTAGGTGGTGGCGATAAATTGTAGAAGTTGCTGGATTTTGTCAGAGCAGGCGATGATTTTGAAAAAGAAAGCAAAGGCGATGGTAAAGGTAAAAAGCTTTTATGACAAACGAGTAATTTCCACTTGTATACGATTTGCGTTGAGTGTTTTTGGCTTGAATAAGCGCATGTATAATTGTCTTAAACTGAGAAAAAGATTTAATCTATGGGAATAATCAAAATGATGATGCTGATGATAATAACAAATGATGAACAAGAAGTCAAACGGGAATGAACTGGTTATTATATTAGATATCCAATACATAAAAATTTCACGTAGGTATCAACTAATTATTGGACTAAGTTCGTAAATTCACGTTAGACCATATTTTAATTGAACATAAAGTGGTAAAAGTAAAGCGGATTTAACATTGAACTTTTTAGAGTTATTTGCTAACGGGTAGTAAGATACTCTAGCTTCGCATTATACTTGCAGAATCAGGCTTGCTCTATGTATACATAGTATACATACTTGTTGTTTCCAGCATCAAGAAAGCATGCCATTTTGTGTTGATTATACCTTATATATCGTATATATCGTATTCTGTCAGTGGCGTGAAATAGACGCGATATACCCCTATAGGCGGCATACGTTTTAATCCGACAACGTATCCGGAAAGGGTTTTCAAGTTTTCCCGTTGTTTTAAGCGACCACTGCAGGCCGTAGAAGTGTATTATTATCGATAAAAAGTGATATGAAAATTTGTAAGTAAACAGATCATGTATAGCAACGATTTCAGTAGAAACTTCCATGGGGCTCCACTAAGAAAATTCTATTCGAATAGCGAATTTTGTCGTTCTGCGTAAATGCAAAGTAGTGAAAGGCGTTCCTTTGTGAAAAATAAACGTATAAACTATGAAACAGGAACAATACCTCGAACCGGTAAGTATAAAATATACAGCAGAAATAATCTCACGTAAACACTAACTAAAGAGCCGAACCCAAGTGATGAAACTCGCTGTCTTCGAGAAAAAAGGCGAAAGAAAGGCTGTCTCGCGTGTACAATTAAAATGTTTAGTATTCAGTTTGGCTTCTAGATACTTTATAAATTTACAAAATTGAATATAACCAGTTTTTATGGTCGGTAATGTTATTTTAGGTCAAAGCTAACATAATCCAAAAATAATTTTCAGCAACTTCTAGAAAGTCGATGTGTCCGGACAGTATTCGAAAAAAAAAGTCTAAAGTCCCAGCGGACATATGGTGTATTTTTATGCAAGCTTTAGCTCTCCGTATGCACGGAATAGCGCATCTAAATTAAGAATTTTTCAGCAGGTTTCTTTTTAAGATTATATAATGCGTATATATTTCAATGAAACGTTTCGCATGAACTAAAAATGTTATCTCCGGAGATCATGCTTAATCATTACAACCATTATCCACTGCAATTACAGCTATTCGGCACTTAAAGCACTAACTAGTCATTTTTAGAATATTGCTTCTTTGATCAAAAAAAAACTTTTTTCCGTGTGCCAAGAAATATTGATAAGTGTAGTTTTGTTAAGGTATCGCTTAGATACACTGTATACAAATGATTCTAACGAAATTAAATTTTGGCAAAGTAGCGGGCCGAAAGTTGCAAAGTGAAACTTCAGAACAGCTAAAAGTTCATAAGGGACGGGAAATTTCAAAAAGCGATTGGCGACCCAATTCGATCCAATTGGCAATTGATATTCTTGCTTTTAAAGCGACCATTAGTTTCACCATCAGGTACCTAGGTGTATCAATAATAGCCTCTTGGGTTATTTTGATGAATTTTCAAGCCTTTAAAATATACACCCTATTGAACATCTTATGGCTTGATTCGGTTTTTATTTTTTTTTAGAGATCTCTTGTATTTGGTAATAATGTAGACCTAGAATTTTGGAAAAAAAGGAAATATTTTTCGTGGTAAGGATTCCTCTAATGCGGAAAAGCTTAATAATAACTGATATTTGTTGGAATTCCGATGATGACGCACTATGTTGTTTACCATGACAAGCTTATTATTTTGTTCTAAAAGGAACTAATGTATCTGGTAACACGAATAGCGGACAAACGTACGCCCTTTATAACAAGAAGCCCAAATTGAACGCATAACATTATGTGGAGAATAAATAATTTGATAGCAAAGGCTAACATGTTAAAGCAGTTCTGAAAGGACCACTACGTAGCTTCAAAGAAATACATGTTGTGTATGTTAATAACAAATAATATTTATTTCACAGATTAAATACTTTTGTTGTTAGCTGCGTAAACCTTCTTGAATAAGCTAAATAATATATACTTAAAGAATAAATATAATATCCCAGCGGGGAAGCGACATGATCTGCACGATCAGTGAGATTGAAGAGTACTGAGCACACCCTTTCCAATGGCGATTATTATCGGGTAACTTCAACGATAAACTTTTAATTTCGAGGATGTATATACAAAATTCACAAGTTATAACATGTCTTGGAACGTGAAGACGATAATTTGAGTAGTCTAGTTTCTAATTAAAGGATACAAGTAAAGCTTTCTGTTTTAAATATTTCTATCGGCACACTAATGCTACGCAAATTATATAAATAAAAAAATGTAGCAAATAGGAACTAATATATATTGCGATGTAACAAAAATGGGCACATAGTAAAGCCTTAGGTAAACTCGTGTACGCTAAAGCTCATGTGAGAGATGCCAGATCTCTATAGAACTTAAAAGGAGAAACTCGTCGTGAGTAACCTTTAGTGTAACGAAAAATGTGAATACATAACAATCTACTAGTAAAATTGCGTAATTCGAGGTGCAGTTCTTCCATTGTGCTGGCGTACACGAAATTTCCCTCACTACAGTTCGATTATGGTCAGTCGGAATTTTATGAGATAAACAAAGCTATTGCAAGGAATAACTAGCTTAATTATATACATACTCAAACAGACATCGAAACATCGAATTGAGTTTTGACTCCGAACTGTGTAATTTCATGTTGTTACGCCTTAGCTTATTAAAACGTTTGGTGAAACTAGGTGTCTCTTCTTTGCCAAAATTATTGGTGAAACGCACAATGTCTCTTCTACTCCCTTTCTTCAAATCTTTAGACTTTGATGTCAGTTTTTTATTTAACGATAATTAAGGTTTCTTTTCTTAGTTTTATTCGCTATTCTCGCCATGTGTTCTTTTCCTTTTCTTAAATGTGTTGCCCAATGAATGCATTAGGAATATCAATCGAAATACGATACCCTACAGTGAGAACTGTGCAACAAATTAAACCAACAAGTACAATTGAAACAACAGTACAATTGAATTAATGTGAACGCTGGGAATGCGATCTCTGAACTTTCATATGATGCTCTTTGCTCTATGTGACTAGATCGAGAAATATCTTTCCCGGAGGTAGCGCCTTAATCTGCCTTATAGGAATCACCGGTAATCCTTCGCAGTTATCCGATATGATCTTCAGATTCAAAAGATATAAATCACTTGTTACTGTTAAATTAAATGGCAATTTTCGATAACTTTTAGCGAATAGTTCATCGTTGGAATGCGTACTGTGTTGTTTAAGGTTATTGCTTTCACTTCGCGGTTTGACGAAGGCTTCTGGAAACGACAGCACTGCCGTGCAGTATTCGCCATCATGCATCTGATAAAAGCAGTAAAATCGACTCTTAGGAATCAGTTTGGTGAGATATTTAATCCTTTATATATATATATATATATATAAGAGAGAAAGAACCGTTTTGAAAATAGATGAAACGATTTTTCTTCATTTTAAATATGTCCTATATCTAAAAACGTGTTTAGTAAAAAATATGTGTGAGATATCTAGCTTTCCTCTTAGCGTATTCACGTATATAGCTTCTTTTTCGAGCTGTCATAACTAGTCGACACCAAAACTATCCTTCAAAATATTAATTATTTAGTAAATACAAAATTAAATTAATTCAATTAATTAAGCTACAGAACCATAATATAAGAATCTTGGCTACTACACAAATGTAGTCAAATGAAACTAGAATCGAGCACTAATATTTCAGTAACTTTTAATTCGGTATTTTATCACTTATGAAAAACCATGATTACGACTCTTGTAGCCATGACCCGTGTATTGCACACTTGCAGTGTGGCAAATTCTCATTTCAATAGGTAGTTGAATCGTACGTACCTCTAAATATAGATGTCGATGTTCGTCTATGACAAATCTATGTGACGGTTCCAACTTCGGAGGTAAGTTTGTGGCCAGTTCTATTACATTGAGGAAAGCTTTCCAGTTCTCCAGAGGTGAGCTATTCATCCAATGAGAATTATCGTTTTTCAATATATGTTGCTTGTCAGTATTCGTTGGCAGAGGCATAATTTTCTTATTATTGACCGCATTTAATAGCCGTCTCGTCGTTTGTGCTGTCGATGATATCATTATTGTTGTCACTGGTGTTGGAGGCCGTTCGGTCAAGATAAGGGGGTCGTCCAACGAAACCCCAGTTGTTTGACCTTCGCCTCTTAGAATGATAATCGAAGACACAGGTGATGTCACTTGTGTGTTTCGGTGAACAAGTTGAATCAGGATAGGTAAAATGATGATAAACGTAATGATCGCTACAGAGACGAACAGTGCATGTCTCTTATCTATGAAGGCTCTCTTACTTTTTAGTTCTTTGGTACGTTGATTTTCTATGGCGAGTTCTTCGTCACATAGCAACACGCGCGCCATATCTATTATGTAAAATAAGAATGGTTAGCACAGCAGCGTTATAGTTCGGCACGGCACCACAAAGATTTGACAATCAATATCGACAATGATTAAAATATTGATTGCCAAAATAAACGTTTATCTCATATATCATCAAATAACGTGTGTTTGGCTATTTACGACCTGTAAGGGGGCATAAGCTGTTAGTAATAACTGTGGAGTTATTTAAACAGCGTTTCCAATTTCATGCGATCGGTTTTACCTGAAAACCAGTAGACAAAATTCAATGTCACAGGAATTCTGATATTACAATTCTAATCTATATGATAGACTAAAAACTTAATGAATCGCAAAGATGCAGGTATGAAACAGCAGTAACGAAAGTATCGACTTCGGCCGTTATAAACAAATTGTCGGCTCAAGTTAGAAATTCATATTTTTACAGATGAAACGCCTGTGATCTCGTAGATCATCCATATAGTTACGGAACTTCTTAAATCAGCTCCCATATTTGGAGTTTTATCACACATCTTAGGCATTCCATCAGACGGCTGGCTTGCACCACAAAACAAAGTGTGTCTCTGCCCGAATTCGGCAAAACGTATCCGTTAGATTAACATGTGAGTACGTTATCTATTAAGTTACTACGTGCATTGTGTCAGCCAGTCTGGACAACGTGATCAGTTTAGCACTTTTACGGCATGGTTCAGCTAGACGTTGAGACGACAGATTTTTTAAAACAATTCGCACAATGACAAATAATATCACTTTGTTTTAACACTGCAATAATCAAGCAACCAAACTCGAGCCGCAGAGAATTTCCAAATGTCAAATCAGCCGGGTTCCTTAACACTGAATTTTAAAATCCAATTTTACATATAAATCAATAAAAAATAAAATTTTAATAATAAATAAATACTTGTAAAGACTTTTCGAACAGAAAAATGTTGAAATTAGAGGCTTATACCGATGTGTGAAATGAAAATTGCTTTCGCCCATGTTGCATGCCACCTCAAATGTTCTTCAAACATGTCCGCAACGCCGCCTATGTATAATTAGGTGAATAAAACAAGAAACGCCTTGGCTCATCCTCATTATAGGGTAGGTAAAGTCATGTCCCTTATCTTTACAGGTAGTTTCACGTGATAGTACTTCTTTATCGTTATAGAAGTGGTGCAAAAAGGACATGAGGTTCTGACGTTAAAACAAACTTATTTAATAAATTCATAGTAAAAAGCTTTACATAGTACCTATCCCTATGTTTCGAGTTTTACGTACGGTATAGCCGTTAGGTATTGCATCAGACGGAGGACAGTACTAACGTAAAATCAGCTGACATCACAGTACCAAAGCGTGCTTTGCCGTGTTGCCATATGTAAAGTAAAATTGTTTACTATTTCACAATTACGAATTCCGCGCGGACCAAATTCCGCTGGATTTCGTCTGCTACAACTTTAGCGCCAAAATAATTCCAGATACGGTCGGCGGTTGGGTTATCCCTGCATTGAATTCATTGTATTCGCGGCGACCAGTGTAGAAGAAACACGAAAAAAATATAACAGCAAAGTGGCAAAATAGCTGGGCATATGTATCTGGGCAGCCGGATACTCAGCCGGAATCAGTTCTGTCAGTGTGTGGACAGCGTAGACAGTTCTGCTACATCTCTCCTACGGATCGGCCACGTAGAAATTATTTCTGTACTGAGTTTGGCTAAGCGCACGGTGGCAAGGGTGAGGAACCACAGATGAAAATCGTTAGACAGTGAACTTGTTTATTTTTATTTCTATATTATATTTACTTTGTTGGTGTTTATCGAAAGGCTCTGATTAAGCCTGATTGAGCATAAGGAAGACGTTGAGTAACCTTGAGGTAACGCGTATTTGCATGAAGAGAAACACAGTCGAACGAGCTAATTGAATATCCTCCGGAGATAAAAAGTAGCCCGATAGCCTTCAAATATCGACAGCAGCTGGCGGCTACGGAAGACCGTGATTACAATTAGACGAGCCGTGTTTCTTTATGTGTGTGTTTCTCTCTATTTACGGCTCGTGATCCATATATATCCGACTTGATTGCTCGACGACCTCGAAGAGTGCGTCGGATTGCGATGCGTTCAGGAAAAACGGCCCGCTTCGCAGGAGCAGAAGAATGTGGCTTTACTCCATAAACTCTACAAATTCCGTTTGTCCTCGCGGTTCGAGTTTGGCATCAGACAATCTATATGAGGTGGATTCATCACCGGAGGGTAGCAGCAGCAGCAGCACTTCGGATCCATATAGATTGTTTGCCTTTCCCGAATCGCATTCACCTCCAACCCCATATGAAACTACTAGGCAGCGTGAAGCAGCTCGACGACGTCAAGCTAAGGTCAAAGCTGGAAAGCGGCAGCTAGAGCAAAATGAACTGCAAACCTGTGACGAAGCTTGCAGAATAACTTTGTTTGAAAACGAGCTGTCAGAAAATGCCCGACAGCGCCAAGCATGTTGGAAGCCGGCTGGCAAGTCAAACGCTTTCAGAACAAAACTGTCTCAAGATAGATTAGGTGGGAATGGTAAATTAAACAAAAGCGTAGAGAAAAAGAACGAGGGTCTAAAACGTAAGGCTCAGAGAGTTATAGCCAAAAGACGGGTTCACAGAATTCATAACGTTAATCAAGCCAGCAAAGATAAAAAGAAGGTCTATTGTGAAGTAGAACAGAAATTACTTGTGAATCAGGAAATTCGGGATTTATCGCTAAAACGAAGCTCAAGCAATACAGCTTGCGCGTCCCTAAAAGAAAACGTGAGGCCAACGCTAACGTTAGGCCACCAACCCAGCAAGGCACAAGACGAAAAGAAATTAGATCAGGTGGTTACTTCGGACAACGCTCACAAACTGCTGTTGGACTCTGACGGGATCGATCGCATCTTCGACAGTGTCGTAGTCATGCCAGCCATGTATAGCACAAAAGCTAACAGCTACAAAGCCGATGGCGTTTTCCGAGGTCTATCGGCCTGCGCCATTAGAAAATCTCCACTTCTGATTAACTCGACACGACGATATGATGGTATTAACACGACAGCGAAAACAAAGATACGTGACAATGTCTCGCTTTTCAAAAAGAGAACGGTTAACGAGCTGAATAGTGGTAGCACTGATGCTGTTATTAGCGGCAATTGCAGCAATTTCCAGTTACAAAGTCGAGCTCTGATGAACTATTCGCCGGAGTTGAACACTGAAGTCCGCATTGGCAATACGGAACAATACAGATCCGAGGTTAATGGTGCAGAGCCGCTACTACTGAAGCACGCGGCATCACCTCGTCAGGTCACGTGTGACTCCAGGTTGAAAAAACCACAGCAGCGTCGGAGCCAGACATCAAACAATAGATTTCCACGAGAAGTGTGGAAGGGAGCGGCGGTTCGACGCGAGCGTTTTGCACAACTTGAGGGGAAACGCGTCAAAACTGAGCGAACAGTTAGCATCACCTCAATAAAAAATTCAAACAATCAGTTGAGCGTGTTGAATAAACCTAACGGGCGTGCTATAGATGGACATAGCTCAGACGAAGATGCGAAGAAAACGGGTACCGATGAGTGCCAAAGTGGGTATGATCAAAAAGAAATGGCACGACGGCGTTTAGTTGACGAATGCACTCAAAGGGACTGTTACGTTGTAACGGCACGCTATGAAGAACCTGGAGGGCACACGAGGTATGTCTCTCATTATGGATAGAGCAAAGGCTTCCATTTAAGATATGCACAATATACCATCGTTGTTAATATTGTTTTAACGATACAGCTATATATGCAGCGAATAGCATCTTAATATTTCGGTTACCATAATTTACTGGGTTCTACATTACGTATTGCTTAATATGAAGAAAATTATTTGAGGATGGGTTGTATGTACAAGACTGAAGTTATTTGAAATGCGGTCGATATATGTTAAGGAATTTCCGGTTGAGCGGTTGAGGAATGTTAAGGAAAGCGTAGATTTACTATAGGGGTAAGCTTATCGACAGAGTTTTTTTCTTATATAACAGTTATTACGTGTCAAAATGAAGCAGCTTCATTTAGTTGTTGTATGCGCTGTAAATCGTCCATTGAAGCTTGCAAACTGGCTTTCGCAAAACTCACCGAAGGCCTTCATTTAGCATATACTATATTATACGCGATATTTTTATTATTCCGTATTTTATCCTATTGTCATATGTTCTAATAATTTGAACTAACTGATGTACTAATTTGATATCTTTTTCTCTTGTTTGGCAGTTTTCGCCATGCACATGCTGCGACCTCTACGAAAGTCGACACCAAACAGGCCACAAAAGCAGTGAGAGATCAGGCTGTTAAAAGATCCGGTGATAGTGGAAGTGTCAAAGGCAATCTACCAAAGAAGTCAAGAACAAATGCTGAAATGCTTGGAGATTCTCCAATACAGATACTAAAGGTAATTTCAAGAACCGGAGGTGCTGTTTCCAAAAACGGGAAGGCTAGTCGGAAAAACGGAAACTCCCGCCCGAAAAGGCCGGAGATAGATAAGGGAAGATCGACCGCACTTGCTAATAATATTTCACCCAAGGCTCAAACAACCTTCGCAAGCAGTAAAAGCTCTTCCCTCAAGGCGACAAAAACCGATGAAGGACCACAAAATTTTTTGTCCAACAACGATAGAACTAGTGCGGAAATTGCAATCGTCTCGCCAAAAAAGGCGCCCAAAAATAGTACAAAACCTAATAGCGCCTCACCTAAAATGGCGAAGGCGGGCTTAAAACGAGAACAAACAGTCGGTAAAACTCCGCCCAAAAAATCGATAGCGAATCCGGCAAATCCGTTAATAAAACAGTCGAAAAGAGATATCAAAAATAGGTCGCCGAAAAAAAGTCAGCTGCCTCAAGACAACGATGGACGGCAACCAAGTGCGTCATATACAAGTATTTTGGACATTGATTTAAGTAACTTGGAATGTTCGATCGATGAAACGGAGGCTGGCATTTCGTCTGAAGCTCGAAATCTGATGGTAAAGTCAAAACCGGTTCCTAAAAATAGACATACATCACAGTCAGCATTCGTAAGCTTTCCTCGGATCAGTATAGCCTCACTCTTCCGGCGGTCGTTTAGTCGACTGGAAGAGAAGCACTCGTGGAGTGAGCAGAAACGTCCTTCCATCTTGGATGAGAAAAGTTGCAGATCGTGCTTTGTTCAACTCGAGAGGATTAAGTATGAAAGGGTATGCTAGTAACAACTGTTCCTCAAATTTTTAATTTCATTTTTTTTAATTCAAATACAATAAAAGCTTTTTTTTTTACAACACTAGTTGAATTCAGCCAACCGTTCTACATTAATCGCGATTATGGTTCACATAGTAAGCCATTACCAGTCAGCGACTTCTTCGGAGAGCCTGGTCAAGTTCACGATTTGAATACAACAGCTTACAACCGGCGCTAAAAACGTTATATATGTATATATATATATATATATATAGTAGGTGGTTAAACAGCATTTTCTTCAG